GTGCGACGCTAGGGGCTACGCGGGATGCATGTTTAAATCCTTCTACTCTGTGCTAGTATTCTTCAGAGAGAGAAATATCGTCGACGTAAAATCTTAAACCGCATCAACCCCCTAACCTCCAAATCCTCTACACCCTACCGGTACACCACCGCCCCCCAAACCCAATTCAAACTCAACCACTTTACCATTCGCCTTGATCATTCAACGACTCCAATAACCACCACCCAACACGCAGCATCCGTAAAACCTCTGAAACCCCATCCAATCATCTCAAGACATGACAAAGATATCGAAACCCCAGCACCCAAGCCCACAGCGCCCCTCCCACCCAAACAATTCTTACTCCCCTGTACAAAACGACGGTACAGGAGATTTTTGGAAGCAGGTTTGAACACAAGTACATGTTGTGGCTACCTAGTACGATTTCCCCGGCGTGATTTTGGACTATTCTTTATTCCCTTTCCTTCAACGGGGCCTTGGATACTCAAACGAAACGCCACGCTACAGGGCGTTCCTATGAACACTAATAAACGTCCTATCACCATTGAGAAAATGCACACTGCGTGAGAAATGATCCTGATCTTCTTCTTCCTCTTTGATCCAGACGCCGTTTGAGAATTTCGCTCTTGTGAGGAGTGCAGAGCCATCAACTTCCTCCTTTGCATCCTCCTCCCCAACCAGCTCCCTCCCACCCACATCCACACCCCCAACCCCCCTAACCGGCGCCGCCAACCCCACAGTCTCATACTGCACCTCCTCCTCACCCCACGGCAACGCCTCGACATCAATCTCACGCTCCCTACCCAGCAAACACATGAGGATAACCCCGGCCCCCGCCTTGCTCATTACCAGATTATGTTGCGCACACGCATCATCATTACAGCACTCGTTGCAGCCCTGCTCACACGCACAAGCGCGCAGGCGCTCACACGCCTGCGATAGCAACACATCGATGAACTCGAATGCCTTGGCCGCGACCCCAGTGCCGCCCGGTCCACCCCGGGCATCGTAAAAGGTGAGGCGGGCCGGGCGAATGCGCGAGCTCTGTTTGCGCAGAAATTCCTTTTCGGGGACTTTACATTCGGTGCGGACGTCGCCGGGGAGGGAGATGACGAAGTTGGGGAACAGGCTGAGGAGGGCGTGTTCGGCGGCGTGGATGCCGGCTGCGATGTTGAGGCGGCGGGATTGGAGGAGTTGCATGGCGGTGGCGGGGACGTCGAGCCAGAGGCCCTTGGAGAAGAGGGTGATGGGTGGGTTGTCGACTTGGACGGCGTCGAGGATGCGACGCTTGCGGTCGATTTTGAAGAAGCCGTAGACGACTTGGACGATTTTGATGGGGCCGTAGAAGGCGCGGCAGGGTGAGTTGGGTATGTGGCGGATGGCTTCGGTTTCAATTGGGTCGATGTCTGTGTAGTCTCGTTGCTGGGTCGTCCAGTCTACCTTTACGCGCTCGACTTTGGCGAGCATGCGCGAGGGGTGAAATTCCTTGACGAGGTAGGTGGTGCCTTGGTGGAGGAAGATGCCGCCGTCGTAGAGGGTGAAGAAGGCGCGGCTGGCTTCTAGTTCTTCGAGCACCATGTTCTTCCCGTTGGTGATATCGATGATGGCGAAATGGTCTTCTTCAGTGTCGCGGATGGCAACGGTGCGCGAGGGTTGCGGGAGGAAGCGCTCGTTGACGTGGTAGAAACCCTGGGCGTCTTGTCGCATGCGCTCTTTTGCAATTTTGGGCAAGAAGGGGCCAAAGTAGGCGACATCTGTCTCGAGATTGATGGGCAGTTCGTGGGCGGCGCATTGGAGGTGGCCTTCTAGGACGAGCATGTTTGTGAGATCGACTTGGAGGGCGCAGTTTGGCTTTGTGAAGATCTCATCCGGATTGGACATGTAGTACTGATCTGTTGGAAAGCAGTCTCCGACCAGGACTGACAACGAGTCCTTGTTCCGCCGTCCAGCTCTTCCACTCTGTTGACGAAGATTGGCAATGGTGTACGGGAAACCAACTGTAACCACCGCATCCAAGGACCCAATATCAACACCAAGTTCCAACGCACTCGTCGCCACAATACCGCAAAGTCTCCCATCAAACATCTCCCTCTCAATCTCACGGCGATCCTGGGGCGTGTAGCCCCCTCGATACGACATGACCCGTGGTATGACCTCGGTGCGCTCCAGATTCGTCAACTCAGTCTTGATAGCCGCAAGCAACGCCTCGCACGCCTTGCGCACGCGGCAAAACGCAATACTCCTCACCCCGCGCAGCATCAACTGGCAAAATAGCTTCGCCGTCTCCGCCATGCAGTCCCCTCGTCCCGACGTCGGATCACCGGGATCCTTGAACGGCGTATTCCAGCAAACAAACTCTTTCCGCCCACTCGGTGAGCCGTCAAAGTCGGTGAGCTGGACTTGATCGACGCCAAAGATAGTCTTCATGTGTTCCTCTGGGTTGGCGACAGTAGCCGAGCACGAAATAAACTTGACATGGCGATTACCCACGGCAGCGCAGATTCTCCGCAGCCGACGCATAATGAAGGCCATGTGTGCGCCAAACAAGCCGTTGTACACGTGTAATTCATCGACGACTACGAAGCGCAGGTTTTGCAAAAAGGTGCGCCATGCCTCTTCCTGCGGGAGAATGGTAATGTGCAGCATGTCGGGATTCGTAAAGATGATTCTCGCCTCGTCACGAATGTAGTTGCGATCGCTCATCGGTGTATCGCCATCAAATGTCTCAACGAGGACATCTTCAAAGCCTGGCATAAATCGCAAAAGCTCTTTCATGCTCTTCCTCTGATCCTGCGCGAGGGCTTTGGTGGGAAAAATGTACATTGCGCGCGTCATGGGGTCCTGCTCCAGCTGGTGTAATACTGGTATCTGGTAGATCAACGACTTGCCCGAGCTTGTCGATGTGGCGACGATGACATTGTGGCCATCATGTAGATTATTGATAGCTTCTGCCTGGTGCGCGTAGAGCTGGGTGATATTGCGGGTATTATACAGTGCGTTGACGAGATTCTGTGACATGGCAAAGTTCAAGTCGCCGTATATCGGCTCTTGGGGGTCAAACACACGGTGTCCATTTGGTACAATCTGGCCCGTATACCAATCCAACGTCTTAATCTCATCCAGAATCTCGGGTATAGGCTTCCTATCCGTCGGTATGGAAATTGGGATCTTGGCTTGCACCGGTCCAGGCGTAGACTGCCTACTCTCCATCGACTGCGGCATATAAGCCACCCCCATCTCCTTTAGCTTCTCCACCGCGTCAACACCTTCCTCGGCGCACTGATTCAAGAATGCATTGACAGCCGAAGTAAACTTCACGGTCCGTTTCTCGATCAAATTCATCATTTGCTTTTGACTGAACACCGGCATCTTCAAATCCTCATTCCGCAACTTGGTCGTCGCCTTGGTCGGCTCACCCGTCTTCTTACTCGCAACCTGCCTCTTCAGATCTCCATCGATAAACTCAAACAGCAAAACCTCCTTGTGCTCGCCCTTGTCCGGTTCCGGGCCCAGAATAACGAAATCTGTGGTCTTTCTGCCATTCATATTGTCCTCTGAGCCCATCAAGTTGATCTGCAGCATCGCTTCGTCGACATAGGCGAAATGTATCGCTTTCGGAATCAAGGCCGTGATTTGCGCGACATCTTCGGTCAAAAGCTCGCGCTTGATGTGTCCTTCGACCGTGGTCTTGAGATTGTCAAACGTCGTCGCCAGGTGTTTGCGCGTGCAGCAAAAAGTGTAGACGAGGTTGAGTGCGCGGTGCACTTGTGCGAGCTTGGTGAAGTAGTCGGGCCATGGTATCGAGGTCTCGACAAGGGTGGAGGATGCGCGGCGTTGTATTGCTGGCTTGCTTACGCCAGGGTTCTTGGGTGTTCGGCGGGGCTTCTTGCCTCCATCGTGTTGCTTCGTCGGTATGCTTGTGGCCGTGGAAGATGCGATGACGCCGACATCGGTTTGTGATGTACTCAGATCTTCAGACTGGCCATCGCTCGGCGCAGGCGTCGCGCTCTCGTCTTCAACATCCTTGATCTTACGTTTACGCTTCCTTGCAACTTGATCAGATACAGATGCTGCCTTCATACGAGGCATTGTTGAGGCGCATGGTACATTCCGAGGTGAAAGGGATGCGGGCACTCTTCAACTGCAATGGCGAGACGCAACGAAATCAATGACGCAATAGTCCCAATGCACTATCAAAGAAAAGTTCCGCAATAAACGAAGCCCCTTCCTCACGAATAAGACGAGGCAATACACTGTCGGACACCTTCATGAATGGAGTGGTGATCCCGCCGCCAATGTGGCGACACCTCTGAACGCGAAGGGGTGTGGCGACGCGGTCTCACGGTCTCACGTGCCGATAGTTTGAGCTAGTACCCATTCAGGCATACAGCCAGGTTTAGTACGACTAGCAAGCATTAGTTACACTTCACAGAACCCATATATATACATAAAAGCAAAAACCATGACGCAATCATTTCACCCTGTTACAAAAGAATCTAGATTAGCTCGAAAGGATCCAGCATGAAACAGGACAGCACACCACCCTGGGTATATAGCAACCTAGTAGCACATCGTCACACAACCTCCCCATAACGATCTCATAACTACGTAGAACCGCGAATTCCTCTCCTAGCAATCTCTCACACGGTACAGAAAGGTATCATAACATCGAAATAAAAGCACCCCTGGCCGAATGCAATGCATAACATCGAAAATGACAGTCCATGCTAGTAAAAGTAGAAGAAGGGAAGTTAAAACGGAGAGCGAATAAACATAGATGAAAAACCATAATCTCATAAGCCATTCAGTCCATGCTGGCATATCCTCTTCTCATTTCAAGGGCAATCCCGTCAAGGCTCTCCTCCAATAAAGCAACAACATGAGGCTCAAAATAACATCAAAAGCGGCGCCGAGGCACTCGAAACACGTAGGGCTCACATGCTTCCCGCCCCAGGAACCAACATGTCAATACACTTTGTCAGCAAATTACTCGCCTCGTGCAACAATTCCCATCGCGTCTTCTTGAACATGTCGCGCATGACAATCAGGAGTCCCAGGCACGCATTGCGGTCGGGAATCTTGCTCAAATCATCCGGGGCAGGCACGCCACCCACACGCGTGAGATATCCCCTCATGTCCGCAATTTTGTCCGCGTACTCATCAAGATGGTATGGCTGCTTGATTGGCCCGTCGAGCGCGAAGCCGTAGCACCAAACAACAAGCGTTGCAAAGTAGAGGACCCAGGGTCGGTTTAGGAGGTAGTCATCGCGCGCCGAGTAGGAGATGCCGGAACCGGTGGGAGATGTGGACGTGGACGGGTTGAGACTGTGGTCGCCTGCTACCATGACATTGGAGAGGAAGCGTAAGGCGTAGAAGGTTGCGTCACGGGCGCGGGCGGTAGGGGCCCAGACTTCTTTCATTCGTCGCTGTGCGCCATTGTAGTCCTGGGGTGTAATAGATCGGCCTAGGAGCCTGGAGGCACCGGCGTAAATCTGGCAGTCTACAATGTCGACATGCATGGCCATGTGTGCTAGATGATGGAGGACGGTCCGTGATTCAAAGACATTTTCGTCGTCCATTCCATTCGAGTAAGAGGAATACGCATGTGACCCAGGCATGTCATTTGGCCGCGCAAGTGAACTGTCGAAATCTTGCTTCCAAAAGTCGAAGGCGCGAGTCAATGACCCTCGCCACTTGTCGCGACCACCAAGTGACTGTGTTACCCCAAGGGAGCTGACCTGGAGATCCCGCTGGTTCATATGCCAGGACACGCTCAACAGACCAGCCATGAGAATTGTGCGGCCAAACGAGTTGGTCCGCACAGTCTGGCCGTTCAGTGTCTTCTTAAGGCCATCTAGAAATGACATTTGCTTGATGCCGTTCGAATGCAAGCTTGCTTCCACACGACCCACTTCTGAGCTGCTGGTAGCAGACCAAAGCGCCTCGTCGCATGGCAGTGGGAGGCGCATCTCATGTGCGACCATGACAGCGCTGTGTCCAAACATGGTAGCGTGGATGCTGTCCATCAAGAATGCCGCAAAGGCTGCTCTTCTAGTGGCCTCATTTGAGATCCAGTGGTTCCACCACTCATCCGGAGTATTTGCTCCACCCAGTGAGCTGCTCTTGCCGTCCTTGACGCTTGGCGGTGAGTCCATGGCTGATCTTCCAATCAGTGAGCTTCCTCTTCTCATCAGAGTCAGGGTTGTAGCGTGGTGAATGTGTGCCCTCTCATGCAACGGTCGAGTAGAGTACATCTTCTCAAACGCTTCGAGCAGCAACAAGCTCTGGAAAATCCAGAGCTTGGCTGGCGGCCGGAAGTCGGCGTCCATGAAGAGCTCCCAGCGCAGGTGCCAAGCGAGGAAGCTTGAGAGTTGCGCACAAGCCTGTGTCGTTTCGTGACCATAATTCTTCTCCAAACAAGATGCTCCCAGACACATGATGGCCAATAGTAGCAGATCCGGACATGTACTGGCATTGAATGTCGGCTTGTGTAGAATCGGAAGCTGCGGATGGAAGTGCACCCAGTACGAGCTGATGTACGTCTGCATCATGTGCAAACTCAGCACGTGATGACTACTGTCCTTGTCGCCATCCAATATGTCTTCCTTGTGTTTCTTGACAGGCGCATGGTCAGTCTCATTGAAGCGTTCAACGATCAGATCCAGCAAATCTTTTCGCTTTTCTTCCGAGAGCGCAGTCTCGGGTAGGGAGGTATCCAAGATGCTGTGAACAGCCATGGGATGCACGGGCGGGGCTGGGTTGCTCAAGTAGCCGGCGACTGAGGGATCGTAGTTAAAATAAGGTGCTTGTAGTCCAATTTGGGATGACGCACCAGCTACGGAGTTCACCTCGCCCGGGTAACTCATGGGCGAAGCGCTTCCAATACTCAAGTAGTTTTGGTTGGGGTTGAATAGCCAGGCTGTAAAGTCGTCGGCCATGGCACATGGGGATCGGCTATAGCCATCGCCACCAAACATGGGAATGGCGTAGGCTGGGTTCTGGTCCATGATGGCATCGGTCACGGCGTTCATGCGGTTGTCCATTTGTGCTGTGGACTCGACACCATTCATCGGCGTCTGTCCGCTGCCATTCTGAAACTGATTTTCTTGGCCTCTGGCTACTGGCACGCCCGCTGGCTGAGGATATTCTGGCGGGGGTAAGGAAGAAAAAGGAGGAAAGTTTTGCTGCGATTGAAACCCACTAGCTGGAGACTGGTACGTCGTCGATGTTGCAGAAGGCGGAAACGACTGTGACGGGGTGACGGTAGATGGGTAAGGTGAGCTGGAGCCATAGGATGACATGCTTGACGTCTGTGTGTGCAGCTCGGGGCGTTGAAAGTTTCCGTTGGCTATGTGTGGGGAGTTGTGGAGAGAGTTTCGACCTCCACTATAATTACTCATTGGGGCTGGACGGGGTGGGGGTGCAAAATTCCCGGTACTCTGGGCCTGCATGTCATAAGGCTTAGCCTCGGAATTGCTGCGATAGGTGTCTTCGCTGCCAGTCCTCTGTAACGAGTCCTGCCGACTCATGGTCGCCGTTGTAGCTGGCGACTGGAAGCTTGGTGGTGACATTTGATTGCCCGGGCCATTGTTGGACGCTGTCGAGCCGGGAGAGGGCATGGGCTTCTGATTTTTGATAGTAATTGGCTGGGAGGGCTGTACAGGATTCTTTCCTCCCAACGCTGCTGTGACAATGGGGTTCAAATTGTGCATGTTGAAGGTGTCTTTGCGCAGCAGTTGGGAGCCTCTTGCCGTATGTCTCTCCTTGTGTCGCGCGCAAAGGTCCTGACGCACAAAGGACCGGCGACAGTCGGTGAAGTCGCAATGGTAGATTTGTTTGGGGTTGTCTGTCCGGCATTAGCACACATGCGCAAGACGTCAAAGCAAAACTGTTGCTTGCTTGTGTGAATTGATTTCATCCATCATCGTTCAGCTCTGGGCACAGAATGAAAAGAAAAGAAACGTGGGATCTCACGATTCAGTTGGTGACGGTACAAGTGCTCCGCTCTCGAGTAGCTCTTCCCGCAGCCCTCGTGCGGGCATTCAAACTTCTTGTCGAGCCCCTTCCTGCTCCTCCGCCTCTTCCTCGAGGAGCCGTGCTCATGGCCATCACCCCCTTCGCCGTCGTCGCCGTCGTCGTCGTCCCTGTCGCGCCTGCGCCCGCGCGCGTCGCCGCTGTCGGGCGAGGCAGGCGTGTGCGGCTCATTGGCACCCGTAGTGGTGTCCATTTTGTCTCCCAATTGCGTCTGGATGGTGCCCAAGTCGGACGGGTGGGCTGGTTGCATGGAGAGGATTTGCGCCGTCATGGCCGGGTGGTGGGCCGGGTCGAGAGAGATGTTGTGTGTCGCGACTTGTGCGACGGTGGGCGGATTCCGGGGTGCAGTGCGGAGGTTGTGTAGCCCGGTGGCGGGACAGGTCGCGTGTGTGGTTGCCAGAAGATGGGTTTACCTGGTCAAGATGGATGGCTGTGAGGCGGTCCAGGGTGGGCGTGCATGCTGCTTTGAGGGGGCAAATCACGCTACAGGCGGGAGACGGGCGCGGCCTGGACTGGATCGACAACTGGACCGCGGCGATAGGCTGGGGCGGAGAAAAAGAACAACAACGGGGCGCGCGCCGGTCATCCAGAGATTCGGCGAGGAAGACCAGGTCCTGCTGATGTACCTACCTAGCCAGGCAGATGCAGAGGTGTAGACGTGTAGATGTGCAGGCGCGAGGAAGCTGTCGTGGTGCGTGGTGATGGTGATGGTAAGTAAGGGTGGTGATGGGTGGTGATGGGTGGTGGTGGTGGTGGTGGTGGTGCTTGTGTAGTGGGTAGGGCCTAGGTTAGTGTGATGATCTCTGGCTTGGGGCAGATTGTTGGACGCGGCGCA